ATGCAAATTTTATTTCCTTACATTACAGATTCGTAGTACTTTTAAACATTACAGCACACATAAAAAGTATTGGTTAAGTCTACTTATTGTAACATATACTAGCAATTTAAGGTGCCAAGCTATTCAAATACAGAATTTCGATTCAATTTAGAAAAGTGCCTAAAGTGAACTGATTTATGTTCAGTTACAAGCACTTGGAATGAATCAGACTTGCATTTTCAAGACTTCACATTTTCATGAGAATTTAGTGTCACATTTTTAATTTTTTTCACCTTCAAGGAGACATTTTAGAACCAATTGTGCTCGTATAACCAGGGATGAGTGTATCTAGAAAGACATCTAGTTGACACTTACATACTCAGTCAAATACAAAAGGTGTTTTTAGAATTGCTCATTTAAGAATGGTGAGGTTAAACAGGTTAAGGATTACTCAAGACCTCCCCAGATTCTATTTTGCTTTTTGTCACCTGAAAACACTCTGGAAATATACTGCAAGGAGTGATGGTTCATTCACCCTAAAACACCTCCGCTAATTATACTGTATTGCATTTTTGGAAAACAGGCATATCTTTGTTCCAAGCCCGTGCTAAATCGCCATGAAACTACAAACCAAACAAAAAGGAGATGACCAGCATTCATGCCATCTACATACCAGGAACAGGAGAAAAGCACTGTCAGGATATCATTCAGAAATTTCTTGTTTCTTCCCCTTAAGTCTTTTACAGGCTTTTACTAAGCAGTCGGTTCACAAACTATGAGGAAAAACTGGTTTGACAAGTTGGAATCGTAGAAACTACAAAGTTATGGCTGGGCTCTTTCTCCGCAAATACTCTTGCCAACTGGAAACAGGCAAGGCAGGAATCTTAATCACATTCATCCCCAGACTGGCCCTGATAATTACGGTGTAGAGCATCTTTGGAAAATAAAAGAGCCTTGTCTCATGTCCCTGCGATACCCTCACGAAACTCACACACCAGGAGAGTATTATTTCAAGTATTATTATTAAGGAGAGTATTATATACCAAGATTTTAGGTTTCAGCTATTTGAGTAGATGTGGTAGGCGTGATTCATACATTCTCTAATTTAATCCAGGCAGGCACAATCCACGATTTCAGGAGACTGGAACATACAAGTGACAATAACTTCCAATAGTCACAAAAAAAGTCAGCGTTTTCATCTGCTGCCCTTCTCATTGTCTTCATGTTCACAGACGGAGAGCCTGAGTAAGACCAGATTGTTAATTACTGTAATTAGAGTACAGGATTAATTAGTAGGCTTGCAGACGGATTTGACATCAGATGCGAGAGCCGATGTGAGATGCTCCACTCAACGCAACTGGAAACCAAGAAGGGAATAATCACAAGGAATTATACTTCATTAACCTCGGCAGACTTTTTAAAGGTCCGGGGGTGAGAGTCAAGAAAACCATTTCCAATAAATTATGCGGTTTTCATCAGTCCAACCAGCTGTGCTAAAGGGGTTTAACGAAATGGATTCATAAAACTTAAATTTAAACAAAAATAAGATGAACGTGTAAGATGTGATGTCACGGTTGTTTAAAAAAAACATGGATAATGATCATATATTTCTACATCTTATTTATAATGTAATTAGTTCGTTGGAGTTTGCCAAGCCACAGCGGTAAATCCAATTCTCTAGAATTTGTACTATCAGTTAGTATCGAGGACAAACCACTCCAATTACTTAATTGATACATAATTCACCCTCCTGCAGAGGTAAGAAATGATAAGTTGGCAACAAGGTCTGAAACGGAATGAAAAGGCCAGGGCTCCCCTTTTCACAAAATGATTCAGAAAGGGATTAGCTCTGACAGCTGTGGGATTTCCAATAATGTGCAACAAATATATAAGAAATATATAAGAAAAACAATAAAACCCTAGATAACACCATCACATCAGAAAGAAAAAAAAACATTTATTTTTATGCATGAAATGCAAATGAATACTTACAGTATCTACAACAACAAAATACAAGAAATTAACAAAAGACGAGGGGATGTGAAAATATATTTACATGTCAAGCATTTGAAAAGTCATGTGCAAAATAATCATAATGTCACTATATGAAAGCCAATGTACATTAAATAAATTGTCTCTCACAATTAATGATATCTACAAGTCTCTTTATGGCCTAAACAGCTTCTAGACTTAAATACAGTATTTATCAATTGTCTGCTATTTCTATATGAAAATGCAACATATGAAATTCATCCATACTTTTAGTATTTTTTACTTTGTATGAAACATTTCTTTCAGAAAATGAATACATATTTACTGCCTTTGTATATCATTTGTAATACAATGCCACACTATTCTTAAATCTCACACAGCAACCACTCTAAATATATCACCATTTCAAGTGATCGGAGGTTGTACTCTTAAAAAAGAAAGAAAATTATAAGTAAAATATGCCTTGACAACACTAAAGTTTGTGCTTTGTATTAGTTTCTCTAATACTTTGTAAACTGATGGATATGTTATAAAAAAGCTGCAATCTACTGACATTTGGTGTTGGATGCTCTGATTCTGTTAATTTACCATGACAAAGCCATACTGCTTGCTTAAATTAGTTTTTGGTTTTCCAAGCTTCTTAAATCATTTTCTTTAAATCTCCTAAAATAACCAATAACTAAATGAATGTCTGGTTCACAACTGGCAAAAGTAAAAAAATAAACATTTGAAAAAAATAACAAAAACTAACAAAAATAAAACGGCCATGTTACAGAAACTACAGGTTACAGAAATTATAAATTGATATGATAAATGCTTACACAATAAGCACCACAAAAATATGACACCTACACAAGGGGACAGAGGTCCAAAGGGCACAGACAGGACACAAATACAAACTTCCAAAAACTGATGATTTGTGAGACATTAATTGATGTTGTAAGTCTGTAGTTTTTCATTAATAAACTAAGCTTAACGATCTGTAATATTCAGTCATTTCATGTTCCTTAAAACAATCAAATGTTTAAGCAATAAATAATTGACTGACTAGCAAACTTCAATAAGTTCATCATAATAAAATAATAACTATCAGCAGTTTTTGTCTTACTACATGTGAAAATAGTGCCTACAGGTCTGTGACACTATATTATAAAATCATTTATAATTAAATGGACACCTAAGTATAAAATAAGCTTATAAAAAGATAAGATAAATATACTAAAATATACCAACTTTGTAGCAAATTTGGAAAGGCACAGTAAATGTAAGTGAATAAAATTAAAATAGGAGAAAATAAAAAATAAACGCAAGAAAAGTCTGAATAGGGAAAATTTGGTAACATTTACAAGTGCATATAAGTAGCATTTCATGTTGCTGTAGATACATAAATAACTTTTTTGTGGTCAAATAAAATTTAATTGTTCACATAATGTTAATCATCTAGTTTAAAGCTTCTGTAAACTACGTGTCCGGGCGGATCATTTTCAAGATGTCTGCACATGTGTTATCGCACCAGCAGTGTGCCCTTGTAAAGCTGCAGTCTTTGGCATGTCTTTTAGTGTTATTGATGAAAGGCCAAGTGGGGTTGCCAGTGCCTTTCAGTACAGCTTTAAGCCACACCAGACCACAAAGATCCCACCACAGCAACCGAAATGCAAGTAAACATCCTGGAATTGAATGTACTACTTCAGGTTTCAGAGTTTGTTTCTGTTTTAGGTCCTCGTAACGGTAGGTTTAATGAGTATTTGTGCAGTTTTTGACCTGCTATTTATACTATGTGATAATATCCAAATAATTCTACAACATTAAACTAGTAAGTTCTGGTTGACTTTTTCGCAGGGCACTGTCTCTTTCACCTTCTTTACAGGAAGCTCCACGTGAAGTTGTTTCCAGAACCTGGAAGATGTGTCTTTGGATTTTTTCCCCTTCCACTTGATCAGAGTGAGGGCCAGACGTGCCCTCTTCAGCTCCTTTATATACACTGCCTGTTTCACAGGCTTAAACTCAACCAGAATGACTCGGAGCTTTCCAGTGAGAACCATGTTATCGATGCCAGCTTTCAGCTCTAGCAAGGCCTGGGTGCCCTGCTGGAGATAATTTGGACTCAGCACAACAATGAGACGTCTGCTTCTCCGAACGAAGCTCAGGGTGTCGTCTGTTATGGCTGGGGAACAAGGCGTTGGAAAGTTAGGTTCTTCTTAATCGACAGCAAGAGGCTGCAACTCTCTATGCACCTGCTGCTTTAGTTTCAAAGAATGTGACAGAATCCTTACAACTTAGAAAAGCTGGTGTTAAAATGGGGTTTATCACTAAGGACGCCAAACAACAAAAACGGAAATAAAAATCCATTAAATCGATTCATGCCTTGTAAAGAGATCAGCAAAGAGAATAAAGCTGATCTGGTGTATTCTCATGTACAAATTATAGCTACGATTCGGAAAGGGTAAAAATTAACGTGCCAGTTGCATGCAAAGCAGAAATATGAGTCGGAAATATTCCTGTCAAACCTGTGGGCCGTCACTGATTAATTTTTAAAAAGGCACCGGAAGATTTTGCCTCATTATTTCACCTCTGAGGCTGTGTGTACATGACAACAGAAACCTCTTTTCCTCAAAATACCTTCTCTCTCACAGTACCTCGGTCCCTTCCATTCAAGTCCATTCCATGTCTTTATAACAGCCCATCCTTAATTTGCTGAGATACTTCCTTCAGCAAGATCAACTAAGTGACTAAAGTACCAGCTGGATCAAAGTTCTGCAATGGAATTAACAGGAAACGGCAAAGTGGTCTTCACTTTTAAAAGATATCAGAAAAGTAAAGAACACTGCGCTAATGAAATGGTACTTGGAGGCATAGTCAAACTGTGGTAAATCACAGCACAAATAAGTGCACGTATGGTATTACCCACAGTAAAACCACACAAAATAGAAAATACTATGGACATTCACCACCACAAACATTCATAAGATTAGCCTGAGCGGCCCCAACCTTTGTCAGGACAAAAAACAATGATTGTAATTGCACCCAGAAATCTCAGCAATATACTCACTCCCTCCAGGCAGGCTGTCTCTGTCAAAGATGCACACTTTATATCCCCAGTCATTCTCCAGAACAGTTCTGAGAGTAAGTAGCACAAACTCCTCCTCTTCCGTGTTCCTGGCATAAGAAATGTAGATGTCGTACTCCTTCCCATCTGACAACCAAAAACAAGAAAAACTCTTCAGATTTATTAAGATCTTTGATTTCTGGAGGGTATGGCCAAGACATTCCTAGACAGAGCAAGAAACAGAAGGTCTAGCCATTCAGAATCTCATCTATTCAGACTAGTAAAGCATCGCTAAAGCATGGCTTTACTAGCAAAGGATAACTGGCTATGATTATGCCCCCCTAACTCAGAGAAGAGTGACTGTCACTTTTAACAATGAACTTATACTGTACATGGTAAAGCATGTCAAAAGATTTTAAAAAGCAAAAATAATCAAAACCTCTGATGAAATTTGTGAAGGGATACAACTGTAATTTTTTACCCTATCATGTATGTCTTTGTTGTAGAATGTATATATCAGGCACAAATATGTGTATCTAGAATTATGAAATTGAAATTTAGAAAGAGCTAATCTTGGATATCTAAATTACGACATGTATGACAAGCTTTGTATCCTAACTTGCTTGTAATGTATAAAAGTGACGATTATTGTTTCAAAAGTCTGTGGAATACACAGCCATCTACTGGATTATTACATGTACCTGCTGTCCCTTTATCAAACACAAAATCCCAATTTCAAATGATAAGGATATGCCATATTCTCATCCATGCCGAGACATAAATTAAAATCAACACTAATCCTTATCAAACTTCAGTATACAGCCCCACTCCACAAATGTGTATTTTCCAAAATGGACAATAATGCTCTGTATACTACTACCAACACCTCTAATTCTCAAATGATACACAGACTGTAAAATCTAACTTTAATTTACATATCTTATTTAGACAAACAATTCCCTTTATAATAGCAATCTCTGTAATCTACAGTAATCTAGAACTCAGATTTACACTAATCACCACTAAGAAAATATAGTCTGAAATTAAAAATAAAAATGGAATTACCTTTCTTAGGTAAATAAAACTGGATAATCATATTTTACTTAAAGCACTAGAAGGGTTATTGGATACTTTAATTAAATGTAAACATTTGTTCAAAGGAATAAAAAACCTCC